CTGGCCTGGTTGATGTGAGACTCACAATCAAGCAAATGTATTCCCTTTGATTCACCCCTGGGACCCCCACACCAAAAGCGGGGGCAGAGTCTCGCCCTTAAAATGTATAACCTGACCCCAATCTGTAAGGGGTCCGGAAAACCAGGCCATCCTCCAGAGTAACTGTAATAATTACAAAGGGGCAGTTTGCATATTAATGAGCTCAGGTGGATTTTAGCTTAGATGAAGCCTTTAGTAGATTTTAATCTAATCTGTACTGGAATTTTTACTGCTTCAAGGGCAAACAATCATGATGAACCAGATCTAATTGTTTTACGTCTTATTTATGAGGTGTTTGTATTTACTTAACCTTCTCTGAATGTATGCAGCTAACTTTGTTATGTGAGAGCAGTATCTGCTTAGATCTTCATGCCTCGCGTCTCCCCAGCTACACTGCTGATCTTCCCCAGGCGTTATGAGCATTAAAAGCTCCCTTCGTCGCTGGAAAGGACCCGGCCTTTTCCGTAAGGACCCCTAATCACAGTATTCTGTGTGCCCCCAGTCCAAACCGTGACATAAGCAGAATTACACATTATTTATACACGTACTGAACTAATTTAGCTCATGTTCACTGTTATTCAATAGTTTTTCTATAATTAAAATGTGCATAATGTTTTTTACTGTAAGCATGTAACCTAATTGTAAAGTAAACACAATTTAGCTCTAGCCTGGACAATCAAGTTACGTTATGCATATGACGAACATATATATCTATGCATATATAGTCTTTCTCATAATCCATTTTACTGCCTGTAGCAGTAGAATGTGCTTGTAAGTATATAAACAAAAAAAAAAAGTTCTGTGCATTCAATCATCCATGCAGGGAACGCCCCCATAAATCTGACTGAGATATTATCCCCCCACAGCAATGGAAAATATATCACATATCCACTTTGTCTGCTGGTAAATTTACAATTTACAGTCATTGTATTTGCTGGCTAAGGTCCCCCACCCACTTGCTGTTTCATCATATTTAAGCCAATTCTTATCATCAAATTAGATTCAAAGGATAGATTCCGGACAGGGTCCGCAATAATTGTATTCATCCTTTCATAAATGCAAACAGCTGAGAGAAACGCACACTTTATATATCACAGAACTAGTTGTGTTTGCCAGAAGGCAAGTTGATTTAAATTCAATTTATAATTTAATTGCTCTCATTATATTCAGAAAAAAATTAACAGAACTTGTGTGACAAAATAGCTGCATATTTAAGATGTACTGGCTCTTGGTTTTACGCTTTAATATCTGAAAGGGGCTTGATGTGTCTGTGTATTGGCAGAGTTAGTGCTGCTGAGGGTGTAATTCTAGAGTAATAATTTATTTGTGTTAATACAATGCATAGTCCAATTGCAATTAAATAGAATAGCTTTACTGTTATATTAAGACACCAATTTCAGTGGCAATAAACTCTCCTTGATATGTGTTTATCATTAGCTCCAAATGAAGATACTCTGGCAGTCACATGATTACGGCTTTAAGGTATCTTGTTGCTTCCTTAATAGCTGCTAGGAAGTTGTATCATTTTATTGGTTTAATAAATTGCAAAAGACCGCAAGCTGCAGCTTTCCGGTAACTAATTAGCAGATACAATCATGTTTTATTTATTTGTTGAATTTCCAAATTACTGGTTTAGATTAAGTTGTTCAGCAAAAAAAAAAAAAAGATTCACAAAAACATTTGAGAAAAGATGCACTTTACACTACTTCTACATCAGCAATTGTTACACTATATACAATTTTGGTGAATAATAACTGTTCACAAACAATCCACGTGACAATGGTTTAAAAATAATAACAATAAATGTCATAGGTTCATGGGAAATACACCGAAAGCTGAATAAGAGAAGATAAAGATCTTTCTAGTCGTTTGTTATATACTTTATAGGATGTTAGAAATGTAAGATACTTCAAATCAGACATTTGCACTGCAACTCTCATGTGCATCGTTCAGTGGAACATATGTGTGGGTCCTGCTTCTTTGTCTTAATATTACTTTGGAAAAATAAAATTCATTATGCAAACAATAGGTCCAGAAGACCTTTATATATCAGAAAATGAAGCACTGAATGGGATTTAATTGTGTCTGCAGCTGATGTGCTCCCCAAAGAATGTAAATAGGCTTTACTAATTGGCTTTGAGGCCCTCATTGTCCCAGGCAGGGCTGGACACAATGAGACCCCAGACCGCTGACTGCAGGCCAGCCGGAGATCCGCCTGCTTTCATCCTTTCCAATGGCGAGTGGTAACAAAATCCCTTTTGGGTTCAACCCCCAGATCATTTAATACAGTGCTTCCCAATCCGGTTCTTGGGGACCCACCGTCGGTCCGTGTTTTTGCTTCCTCCAAGGGTCCTACCAGACAGTCCACATTTTTGCTCCCTCCCTGGAGGGAGCTGGGAGGCAGCAAAAACATGGACTGTCTGCAGGTCCCCGAGGACCGGATTTGGGAAACACTGGTTTAATAATATCACAGATATTCTCCAACTCTGCAGCCCGTTCCCTGAGAAACAGAGTAAATGGATTCCAACAAGCCCTGATTGGAGAGCAGCAAAGTGGCAGGTCTGAAATGACAGAACTTACTCAAGTGATCCCAGCTTCAGAGGGAATGGCCCGGCCTTCTTCCTGATTGGATAACACAAGACAGCGTCCTCAGTGGTCACATACTGTTCTTCCATTATGTGGATGTTAGTTCTGAAGCCATTAGAGGAACTTGATCCTGAAGTCTCCCTCGTACCTCAACAATACACGTGGTGTAGGGTGTACCAGCATAAGCAGACAACGGCACACTGCACGCTGAAACATGATTTACACAGTTAATAACAAAACTGTTCATTTCGCAGTGGCCGGTAGCTTGCATAACTATCAGATGAGGCGTTTTTTATTTAATGTATTTATCTTGCCACACCACTGAGTTTCTGCTTGTGTGTTTGCGGATGCTAGTTTCAGCGAGCTGTCGGCGTTTCCACTGGGGCTGCTTCCTGAAGGCGGGGTGTCCCACGTGCCGCACTGCATCCCCGTCACCAGCTCATTCCTGGGTCGGCTTCAGCAGGGAAATGAAAGTGACCCCCGCAGCAGAAATCACCTCAATCCTCCTTTCAAGGTGCGGGCCGGCAAGAAAGCCGAATACAGCTAAGATAAAGCCATTATTTTCAGACATCTGAATCCCGTAGACAGACTGCGGCTCGTCCCAGTTGCAGACACGTCTATTGTGGTTTCTGAGAGGCTTATTAGATATGAATGTGCAGGGCAGAGGGAATCCTGGACATAATCCAACTGCCCCCATTTTCGAAGCGTGGGGGGGCCTTGAAGGGTTAGGGACTTCCCTTTATATTAATTTTGTAATTAAACCAGTTAGTAGCTTGAGTACATGAGAGCTCGCGATCCCTGTTCCTTCAAGACCTGTTTGGAATTATCTGGGCGGCTCATTCGTCATATTGAATTACAGCCCAGGGACAGTGAAGCAGGAGAGAAGCCCCTCGGAAAGAAGCGGCAAAGGGTTCGAGCTGGAGGAGGATTGGTAAACAGACCTGCTGGCTCCGGTCCCTGCATAACGAAGGTGATTAGTCATGAATAGGGGGAACCCCAAAGTTAGGGTGTGACCTCGATGGGGGACACCGCCACGTTGCTGTCACAGCGAGCTTCAGGGAAGGCCTGCAGGGAGGTATTTCGATATCCTGTAGCCTGCCGGAAACACAGCAGAGGAGAGACCTCCTCTTTTAACACCTTTGGAGGACGGAGACATCAATCCTTCCTGGTCAAAAATACCCCCTTCATAATGTGGGATTGAGTCCTACATTACAGGAGCATCCGGCTTGGGGAAGATGGCGTGTAGGAAGGATCGCCAAGAGAAATGCCAAATAAAATTGGAATGCGCTATTTTGATAACCCGCTGGTATTCACATTGTCCTCTTTAAGCCTGATGGATGTTCCCCTATCTCCATCAGCCGGATGTTTCCAGAACCATCTTGTTTGTGCACGATAGGCATATTATGCACATGAATCATATCTATTTTCAGGTAGCATAACAAATCTAATAATGGCGTGTCTGTATCTTTTTATTGCACTGAGACAAATTTATTGTTGGTAAGTGTTGGAACATTGGGCCAATTGGGCTATTATTGCATTACTCTGCTGCAAAGTGTTACTTCCTGTTATGGGCATAATGTATCTTAAAGATGTATAATCTAATAAAAAATATTGTTTTTTCTAAGTTTTCCCCAGAATGCATTATGGGAGGGAAAATAACATTTTTTGCATATTGTTCAAATTATTTCTTTGAATAATTTTTATACAGATTCTCCGAACTTACAAACTTTCAACTTATGAACTTTCAGACATACGAACGAAGAGGACTGTAAGTCCAAATTATGTTCCTTGGGCTCCCGTTTCCTGTCCGCAACATAATTTTTTTTTCTGCGCGCCAATTCCGCCTAGTACGACTTCTGGCCGCTACTCCCGCCGCGCAGCAGCGTAGCGTGCGAACTCCCAGCATCCTAGTTCTTTGTACTTGCGTAAACCCTTAAAATGATGCTGAATAACAACTTACGAAAAGCTTTGACACCGTTACTCCTGCTAGAAATGAACCACTGTAGGTAAATAAAGGAATAAATAAAGGAATTGGTTAAAATAAAGGGTTTGGTTAGTGTTAAAATAATTACTTCAGAGGGGGGTAATAATCTTGGAATCTGACTATTCAGGCAACGTGAACATGAACACAGTGTGTGCTCTCCATTTTATTTCCTTTTGCAGCAATTATATATTGTTTATCATGTACAAGTGCTTGTATTAAGAGGAGTGATGCATGAAGCTTCCATGCCAGTGGGGGCGGGGGGTGGGGGGGTGGTCGATGGCACAGGACAGCAGGATCCAAATAATCATTCACATTCTGGACTGTTGCAAAACAATATAATTCGCTCTCATAACATTGTTTCTTGTAAGTAATGTTTGAACCTAGGGATTGTAAAAAGTATATATATTTCTGCTTTGAAGTTCTGGCTTGGCATGTGTTAACACGAATGCACCTTTATCGCTTTGGCTCGCTGTGGTCGCACTACAGTGATCACAAATGGAATCACGGTTCGGTTCAGTGTGGTGTAGTCGGTTAAATCAGCATGCGTATCTGAAGTACTTCGGTGCGAATGATGAGTGTGCCCTGTGATGGATTGGCACCCCTTCCTGGGTTATTCCCTGCCTTGTGCCCTGTGATGGATTGGCACCCCTTCCTGGGTTATTCCCTGCCTTGTGCCCTGTGATGGATTGGCACCCCTTCCTGGGTTATTCCCTGCCTTGTGCCCGTAGCTTCCAGAATAGGATCCTGACCCCTGTGACCCTATATAGGACAAACAGGTACAGAACACAGACGGATGGAAATTCTGTATGTACAATGAAAAACTGACTCTAAAGTGACTCTGAAGTGACTGTGGTGTCACTCTGCAGAGTCTGTGATGGTGTTCACTCTGCATCCCTCTGGGCCCTCGCCCCAAAGGCTGCTGGGAAAATGCCAGAGCTTGTGCCATTTTCACGGATGGGATCTGTGAAAACCAGAGGATTCCCACCTATCTGTTTTTACAAGGGGTAGATTAAGCCGCTGGGTTTTACTCAGTATTGGCATTTAAAGGAGGCCGTCTGTTAACTAAAGTGGTTGTAATATGTACGCAAAATGATACAGTTGGCCGTGAAATAATGTCTAAAATATCCCCCTTCTCTGTGTTTTTAATGGAGAGATGCAAGAGAGCAAGCAAAATGCCGGAAAATGACAGAATTTTGTATTTCTTACTACACTCTCTGTGGTTTGCTAACCAAAGCAGACAGGTCACTGAAAATCGAGGGAAAATTCATAATTTCTCCACATCCAAATAACTGTACAGTATATGCACTTCAGCCACCAGCACCAGCACGAAAAGTCGATAGCCTATCAAAATTGCCAATTTAATCGGTAATTTTTCAAGAGACTCAGTTGCATTTTTGCAACTGAGTTTTAATGAATTTTATGGACGCATCGTTGGCCTTGTTTGTTTTTAACGTATCGATTTTCAGAAACACTAAGTCTGAGGGTCACTAATCCCTTTTTCATTAAAGGAAAGCCCCACATTCACTATATTTAACAGGCTTTAACCTGGCAAATCTTCAGTCTGAATAAATGACAAGAATATAAGCTTCCCAAGATGCCATGGTTTAAACGTATTAGCTGTACTAAGAGACCTACTCCTGGTATAATTATGTTAGGAACCAATAAGACAGCTCAGAAATCAATATGCTAAGACAGATAGCGCACTGGAGCATAGCCAGTGAACTGGCGATAGATTAAGCTGACAGTTCCTGCGATAGGTTGGGGCTATGCTGCTTACCCTCCAGCTGTGCGCTCTGATACTTTTTCTAATAGAAAATGGACAGGTGCAATCTCCCCAGGACGGGCCGGAGGTCATTTTATAAGGCTAATGATATGAATTTGGGACAGTTGGGGCTACCTAGAATTCAACTAATTCCGGACGCCCGTCCTGTTTCTGTGGACAGGTGTCACACGGCTGTATAATGGTTTGGTTGTGTTATTTGTTTGGCTGTCATTTGGTTGTTATTAGTTTGCCTGTCATTTGGATGTTATTCGTTTGGCTGTCATTTGGTTGTTATTAGTTTGCCTGTCATTTGGATGTTATTCGTTTGGCTGTCATTTGGTTGTTATTCGTTTGGCTGTCATTTGGTTGTTATTCGTTTGGCTGTCATTTAGTCGTTATTTGTTTGGCTGTCATTTGGATGTTGTTCATTTGACTGTCATTTGGTTGTTATTCGTTTGGCTGTCATTTAGTCATTTGTTTGGCTGTCATTTGGTTATTTGTTTGGCTGTCATTTGGTTGTTATTAGTTTGCCTGTCATTTGGATGTTATTTGTTTGGCTGTCATTTAGTCGTTATTTGTTTGGCTGTCATTTGGATGTTATTCATTTGGCTGTCATTTGGTTGTTATTCGTTTGGCTGTCATTTGGTGGTCATTTAGTTGTTATTCGTTTGGCTGTACTGTTTGTTGCCAAGATGCTCATAACCTTTTTTGGTAAGTAATATGACATGTTAAAGATGAGATAAAATAAAAAGTATGCCGTAAACATATTAAAAAATATTTTTAAAAAACATGCAGAATTTTTACTTTATGCCATGTTTTATATCAAATTTAATTAAAGGTTAACCGATAAAGAAATAACAGAGTTAGTGGCAGGGTTAAGAAAATGGATTCTTCTAATACTTGGTTTGGTTGAGCTTCTGACCTTGACCTAGGTAATCGAGCTCAAATTAGCTAACTGATCAGCTTGCATGTAAGCCCTAAATACGGGAGATCATCAATTGCCAAACAAGTCGTACCCAGTGCAAGGGTGAAATCTGTGTTAGAATTGCACAGAATCACCTCACGGTCCTATAAATTTGTATTCTCTAAAGTTACACGTAGCTCTAAAGTTGCATTAAACTTCAGCGAGCGTAAACCACAGTATTCCCATGTTTAATAAATGTAACTAATTTCTGCTGAGCCTTGAATGATCCAGACGATCGGGAATCACTGTCTTTGGTCCACAACCTGTCACAGCCCCAGTGTGACAGACCATAAGCTGCCTGCTTTAAAGACAGTACGAGATAAAGACAGACAAACATACATGGTAATGAATTAGTCAATATATATTATGGCTTTATTGGTTGACTAAAGAGCTAACAGAGTCTGGTAAGCGAAGAGCATGGAAAAGTCGATGCGTCTGATCCAGACAGATTCGGGCTCGCCCATGGGAGTCTCCCGTTCAGGAATCCAATTTACCACGCTTGATTGACACGGATTGGATCCCGGGGAACTGTAGAACGCTTTTAGAGGCTAATCACATTTCAATAGATTTATACTCGTTTTCATCAAATTTAAACGCACCCTAAACTGTGGAGATGGCCCACAATTAGTGTCTATTCACCCGCCGATAGGACAGCAAAGGGGGGGGGGGAGTGGTTGTGCAGGGCAAAAGGGGCTGAATGCATTGGTGGATGCATGTTCTGCAGTCTCCGGTCGCTGGAGGTGTCTCCGGTCGCTGGAGGTGTCTCCAGCGCGGCTCGGCCTGTGGGAGGGGAGATTCAAATCAAAACAAACCCAAACAGAAGCAGATCAAGGCTCACATTTCCTGTAGCTAAACAGGGGGGCTCGTGGGCACCTCGGGGAGCTCCCAAGGACTTGCTCACCAGGCGGTCAGCCCCAGCCCCAGACGCGCTGGAGTGGGGTTTAATTCCCCCCAATTAGCTTCTCACATCTTCTGTAGCAAGCAAAACGATAAAAAGATGCTCCGATAGGAGATTAAACGTGGCCTGTGCCACGACAGCCTGCCGTCGCTCAAGATAAGAGTCGTGATTAGAATCGTAGTGACAGGGGCCCACACATTTCAATTGGCCGATTTAAAAAACACAAGCCGTCATCCTATTGGCCCATTGTGGGGGAGTTCATATTCCTTTATGTCTGTGTATAATCAAAGGATAATCTATGAGGAGAATCATATTTTCTATGGCTATTTGATTTTTATAAGTATTTCCATACCCATTATGTTTTTATAGCCGAATGTAAGTGCCTGACTGACAATAAACTTCACTGAGGACACATTAATTCCTGCTTAATACAATCAGTCACAATAATCGATAAAGGGGGGCGCGTGAAGCAGGATGGGCCTTGCAGCTCACTGAAGTGACAACTATGGCTTATTTGCATCTAATTGCTTTCCCCGCAGTCGAAATTGATTACACTCAGGCTGGAGATGAAAACATTGAAATTCAGCCCATTACAGTCGACGGCGGAGTGAAAGAGAGGGAACCGAAAAGGCCGGCCTCTCTCGCGACTTCGCCGTGCACACGCACGTGCACACGCCCGGGAGACCACGAACGCCGCAGTGAGAAAATGCACAGGGCTCAAACTCCGTCCCCCTGACGCCGTCAAGTGATAAATTCAGGCCGATTCATTAGAGGGAACCTTTTACCCATTTAGACATCTGAAGTTATTGGGTCTCTATTCGGCCCACGACCATTTCGGTTTTATGGTACCGCCGACCGAAATATAAATCTTTGCCAAGCAACCTGCAACACGGCCGGCCAGCAGGGGCCATGCTGTAGTTTATTAATTTTACATACACATCCAATCTGCCATTTAAATCACAGCCATGGGCGCTATGATTCCGGTTGGCAATGTAATCTGGTTATGAAACCTGCTCATAAACAGCGATCATTTTTGATGGACTGGTCTAGGTGGACGTTCACACAGTGCCCGATGCTATTGGAACGACCAGCCGAGAGTTTCCTGTTGAGACTGAGGGCTCCTGTTTGCTCAAAGAGGCTAAAGCAGTGAAGAAGATGGGGACAGGAGCGCCAGGCCGGGCCGGGCCGGGCGGCCTGTTACAGCCACGCGGCCGCGGAACGAGCAGCTCGGAGGCGGAGATGGGAGCGCAGGGCCGGGCCGGGCGGCCTGTTACAGCCACGCGGCCACGGAACGAGCAGCTCGGAGGCGGGGATGGGAGCGCAGGGCCGGGCGGCCTGTTACAGCCACGCGGCCGCGGAACGAGCAGCTCGGAGGCGGGGATGGGAGCGCAGGGCCGGGCCGGGCGGCCTGTTACAGCTATGTGGTGGTAATCCCGTATCTGGCCGCAAACAGCAAGGGTGACGACTCAACCAATAGGAGCCAAGAAAAGGAAACCCAAAGATTAGGAAGTCAGATCTGGGTCCTTAGACTCTGTACTGCTGTTATACTTACTGTGTTGAACAAGAAAAGAATTGAGTTTGAGAAGTCACAAGAATATTATATATATTATATGCATGTAAAATGCTATTGTGATACATATACAGTACTGTGCAAGACTTAGGCAGTCTAAGAAAATGATCTTCAAATGATCTTCAAATTGCTGTAAAACGATGATGTCTGACAGAAGTGTGGCAGTGGAGCCATTTCAGATCCTCTCCTAAAGTCACCACAGTATTTGCAGCAACCATCCAATATACCCAAGTATCTTTTGACTCATCCACTGCCCCATCTCATATGGCTAATCAACACCATAATCCATCAATCAATCAAGCTGGATGTGAAATGTAGCAAATACACGGAATGGCTGAGGTGCCTCTGAGGAGAGGTTTGGGAACTGAAGCGATGTTCTTCTAACCGTCCAGCCAGTTATCAGTCATTTTTTGGGGAACGGAAGGCACACTTATAAATCTTGGTTGTGTTACTCTTAATTTTCATATTTGATTATTAAATTGTTGATATTGCTCCTAGCACACATACTCTTACTACTCGGATAAGTGTGTGCATGACAGTGGGGGGCTCTAACTTTAAACTGCGTTGGTTCCAGCACTGTAATATTATGAGGAAATTCCATACATTTTGGAAGCTTGGGAGTAATTCTGCGAAGTACAATTACTGCTCTGTCTGTTTATTCAAAGGAAGGTGGACGTCCAATCGGAACAAACAGGCAGAGAGGCCGGCTATCAATGCCTCCTGTAGAGTTTTTGATATAATGAAGGACGCCGGGGTTGGCTTTCAGTCTGCCAACACAAAACACCATTCACAGCCTACAGCTACCTCCCTTGGAATCGGCCCGGCGGCACGGGAGCGCAGAGACAACAAGATTACCTAGGAAACGTGATCTTAAGAGCACCAAAGGTAATTGTGTTTCTCTCTGTAAGCCCCCTGATTGAAAGTTGTAAGGAAATGGAGGGGTTCAGCAGTAGACACAGGCCTGACGAGGAGGAAGCGGCCAAATCTCCATTTCTGTCAGCGCGACTTGAGTCAGGATGCGTGGCGGGAGGGGTGGTGCCCAGCAGCCCCCGTAAGGGCGGAGCGGCTCGACAGCCACAGCGCCGGCCCGCCCTAGGGAAACGCCACCGGTGCCAGAAGTGTCCGTGCGCCGTCCGTAGAGAGCAGGGATGGGCGGGGGGTCGCTTACGTCCAACACCCCCACAGGCACTGAGCCCAGGAGAGACACCTTCCTGTTTTTTTCTGTTCTCCACATAACTAGCATCATTTCTTATTCTGAATCCATCTTGTGTTGACAAGCCATGGTGACATGAGAATGTGAAATTTCAGCAATGCCCACAAGGGAGAATTCTGGCTAAATAGGATTTGTGGAAAACTCACATATTTGGGAATTCCTGAATAATCCTGAACACAAGTCAGTTCCAGATCGATTATGGAACCTTCCTGGGGATAGGAAAAAGCCGGCAGACTGTTATTATTCTAACAAAAGCTTTTACACATAAAATTTCATTTTCTTATAAATATTCTGTGTAGTTGTATTTATAAATTCCACACTGAGAGAACCTCTAAAATATGAATATAAACCATATTTAAAGTTCCCAGTTTCAGCATATCAGCTGTTCTTAACCAGCTGAGCTCATAAGTAATGAAAGAATTTACAGGCTGAACCCTCAACCTGTAAATAAATTGCTTTGTTTTCTGTGCTCTGATTGTTTCTCTGATTCTTTACTCATTGGGAGAACATGATTAAGGATATTATTATTGGAAAACAGAGTTATGCATGAGTGTAAAGTAGAGGTCGCTGATGGAATATTGAATCTTCAAAGCAACAGTAGATTCAATAACTATTTTTTTTGTTCTGAAAACAAACAGAAATTAAGTTTCACAGTCACTAGTGCAAGCAATACAATTTTCCTCATTAAATTGCTTTAATGGGTTTAACTTTATAATATTATAAGCCATTACTGTGTTCAGTGAAAAAAGACATGATCCATTTTCTGCATAAACTCATTTTCAGCTCTAATTTCAAGAAACACAGATGTAGCAGACTTTTTATTCCCTGTATAAGGTAAGCCATTAAATTTAAAAGTTTTTACATTATAGATGTTAGTATATAGTTAAAATCTACAATAAAATTTCCTGAATTATGCCCAGGACATAATTATTTTCCAAGACATATAAATTATACATGATGAGGTGCTTTGCTCTTAAATCACGTCTATGGTCTAGACCACAGGGCAAGGGAGGGGTTGACGGAGCGGTCTTTCTCAGGACAGATTCTGTTCCCCTGTCTCCTGGACATGCGACTCAGTGCATGTCACATGACAACCCCCAAAGCGGCTGAAGCAGAACCCAGTTTGCAGCCCTGAAATTACTGCTCTGTCAATGGCAAATTATTATTATTATTCTTATTGTTTGCCAGTGTAATGCAACCTGTAATGCAGATCGACTGCGCCTGCATCTGAGCAGGACAGGAGAGTCATGGTGAATCTGCAAGACCGGTTCAGCTGCGGAGCAAATGTGTATCGGCTGGATAACATTTAGCAGGTTTCATAACAATGGACACACCACCAGTCAAAAGGTTTTACACACCACAGGTTTTTACCATTTTCCATTTATTCCATAAACTGCAGATTTTTTATTCTTGTTAAGCATTGGAAAGTTCAGTGAACAGTTATAAAATAAAACAAGTTCCCTTTATAACATGGAAAGAGTATGTAACAGTGCGTGTCTGACATCCTATTAACTGGTTGTGTGGTGATGGCAGAGTCAGATTCTAGGCTGTCCTTTAACTTTAAATGCACTAGTTATCTGTTTCATCCCATGAAACAGAGCAGTATGTAATGTCCCGTGTAGAAAGGATGCCTCACATTTTCTCTGCTGTTATAACTGCTAGAGGTTACTTTGTTGAATCAATGACATTTTCTTGCTGTTAAAGGTTCTCAGATGGTGAACATACTGTAAGTTTATTTGTTAGCAAAGAAAATTGAGTGTATTTTTAGTAAATATTAAGTGAGTGACATGCAAATGTCTCAGTGTGTGCAAAAACTTTACTGGTAGAGTAAATATATATGTAGTGTGTATATACTGTTTATGGTGTGTGTACATATATATATATATATATATATGTATGCGTCTGTCCATCTGGGTCTGCCTGTGTCCATCTGCGTCTGGGTCTGCCTTTGTCTGTCTGCGTCTGAGTCTGCCTGTGTCCATCTGCATCTGAGTCTGCCTTTGTCTGTCTGCGTCTGAGTCTGGCTGTCTGTCTGAGTCTGCCTGTGTCCATCTGCATCTGAGTCTGCCTTTGTTTGTCGGCGTCTGAGTCTGCCTGTGTCCGTCTGCATCTGAGTTTGCCTTTGTCTGTCTGCGTCTGAGTCTGGCTGTGTCTGTCTGAGTCTGCCTGTGTCCATCTGCATCTGAATCTTCCTTTGTCTGTCTGCGTCTGAGTCTGGCTGTGTCTATCTGAGTCTGCCTGTGTCCATCTGCGTCTGAGTCTGCCTTTGTTTGTCTGCGTCTGCCTGTGTCTGTCTGAGTCTGCCCGTGTCCATCTGTGTCTGAGTCTGCCTGTGTCCGTCTGCGTCTGAGCTTGCCCCAGACTGTCTGTATCTGAGTCTGACTATGTCTGTGTCTGTTTGCATCTCGGTCTGTCTGGGTCTGTCTGCATCTGGGTCTACCTGTGTCTGTTTGTGTCTGACTATGTCTGTGTCTGTCTGCGTCTGAGTCTGCATTTGTGTCTGCTTGTGTCTGTCTGTGACAGTTTGTCTTTGCCTATATGTGTCTGATTACGCCTGCGTCTGTCTGTGTCTGAGCTTACCTGTGTCTGTCTGCATCTGAGTCAGTCTGTGTCTGAGTCTGGCTGTGTCTGTCTGAGTCTGCCTGTGTCCGTCTGCGTCTGAGTTTGCCCCAGACTGTCTGTATCTGAGTCTGGCTGTGTCTGTGTCTGCTTTTGTGTCTGTCTGCATCTGGGTCTACCTGTGTCTGTTTGTATCTGACTATGTCTGTGTCTGTTTGCACCTCAGTCTGCCTGTGTCTGTCTGCGTCTGAGTCTGCCCGTGTTTTGCCAGCAGAATAGAACAGCTTCCTTTCGGAGTTCATGGAAGATCGCCTGACAGCCGTAAAGAATGACTTGCCTTCATGAGCAATCCAGCAGAGATGAATCCACAGCTGCTGTTTGGGATTGTATGGGGGAAGTGTGAGCATAGCACTGGGTGAGTCATCAGAAGCAGCCTCTATCGCCCTTATCCTGCATCTCCAAGCCTGATAATGCGACATTTTCACCTGACTGCTCTGCGCTGTTTAACACGTAACAATCCAAATGAGCATAAGCTGCCATCAACCCTGCTGAAGCTACTTGAATATCAAAGACATGATTTAATTGTCTGGGAGCATCAGTGTCCCTAAGTTGCCCATAATGTGTGACTGCATGTGCCCCATGAAAGCATCCAGAATGTTCCGCTGCTCTGTGCCCTATGGTTCCGGCCCGCAGCCACCAGATAACCATTTAGAATATTGATGGATGGATGAATGTGAATTTTGCAGACATAAATGTATACTAAGCATACACAAGCATTTGTCAAACATTTACAATATTTAATTACAATCATGGGCATAAATCTTATGAGGGCGATGGGGGAGTTGTAAGCCCCCCCCCCCCCCCCAGTAATCAAAACCAGCCAATACAACCCCTCCTGGACCACCTTAAATGGGTCGAGACCTCAACCCCCCCCAATGCTCCACCCAAAGTTATGCCCCTACTTATAATATGTTAGAAGTGTTTCCTAAATTACAGCAGATTATGTCATATAAATTATAGTGAATATTCTAGTAAATCTCCCATTCTGTGAGCACATTTCTGTGAGCACATACACATTCTGTGAGGACCTGACCGGTGTATCGCTGTCATGCGTGACCCGCGCCGCCTGCATGAGCACTACAGCCTTGTCTTACCTTGAGGTCTCTGGCTTGATGACATGTTACTCATTTTTGTTTTTGCATAAAAAAAATGACATGGCCGTGTTTTCTGTCAATGATTTAGGGATTGTACGGACTTGAGGGTTGCTCGTATTTCCATAATGAAATAATGCTCATGGTTTGACATCCGTTCAGTTGACGTATCCTGTCTTTATGTCCACCGCAAACCTGCTTTTATGTGTTCTGGGATCTCACAGCTTTCCCTTCTTTACCCCATTACCATGAAGCGTTTTGAAGTGACATATTAAACTTTACAGATTGTATTGTTCCACAATTCTAAGCTGCCTTTTGTACTTCCGAATCTTGTTTTAGGTCAAGCAATAGCTCTATTATATTTTTTCCCCTCGGATAGACCAAAGTAATAATTATATTATCCTGTTGTTCAAGTCCTTGAACAGATCTTTTTTCAGTATTTGTGTTGAATTTTCAAAAGGAACTTTTCACAGAGCCTCATCTTACTTGAATTTGTTTATTGTATGTAAAGAACAGAGAAGAGAGAAGTCAAACAAGTTCATGCGCCAAAATGCCTGAAGAGCATCGAAATAGATGCTTAAAAGGACATTGTTTCAGACACTGAGGGTAAAGGAGGGTCGCTTTTCTTTTTGTAGGCTTGTTTGATCTGAAATGTGTCCTTTTCCAGTAAAAGGCCATTTATGGAGGCTCTGCTTCTCTCTTGATTAAATCATTCATTATTTAACACGCATACAAGTGATATAAGTACCTTAGCATTTCACCAGAAAACAAACTAAATTAGGAAAATGATAGCTAGCACAGATTTTAGCGATATTTAAAAGGTATATTTTTCACACCGGAAAAACAACGTACTCCCTTCTAATATCAGACAGATGTCAATTTTGGGTGGTCCTACCTTTTGTTTTCACGACCGGGACTGGCTGCGTGTACTAACTCCATTCTCCACAGTTTTAGGAAGGCGTGTCACCGGGACACATGTGACACGTCACCCATGGCAACAGGCGGCCGACCTCCAGGGGGCAGAGCACCTGACATTCCCCCAGGGGGAGCCCTCCGAAGGGCTCCACATCCGGGGATGCTTGGGGAAGGACACCAGCTCGGGAATGCAATCCGGAAACATCGGTGCATGGAGAGGCATTTCTCGACCTGGAGCCCCCACCCCTCTTAATTTCTGGCCCTGGGCAGCAGGGGAAGACGACACTGGTCCTTTTGTTCTTGTCTATGCTCTAGTTTCGCTTGGGAACAAGACACTGTGACTGTGTGTGTGTGTGTGTGTGTTATATATTATATTTGACAGCTTTGTTGTGAAATCAATAAACAATCAGGTTTCATTATAATTTTGAGAATATAAAATTGTTATATTTAACCCAAATATGAAGTATTACAGCTTAAGGATAAAGCCATGATATTTATTAGGCTCATTGCATTTATTAAGCATTTTGTTAGCATTGCTAATATTTTATTTTAGCATATTCTACGCTACAAAGCTAAATTGTACTGTTAGGATGGCATGTGTGTGATCTCAAAACTGCACAAAATTGTAAACATATATGCCTTCAGCTGGCGACTACCATCTTGAACCATTTATCAAATGCTTCAGATGTCTTCTGATGTTTGTAGATGCATTTCCAACATCCAAAAGGAATTTTCAGATAAGAATTATTAAAACCCTTTGTATGTGTGTGTGTCATTGCCCTAGTACCATGCAAATTTGTACAATTCAAATGATCCAACATCATTTGACTGCTCAGATGAAATGTGCGCTTTCCAGGGAGGTAAATGGGACATTGGTAATTTAGTGATTCCTCACCTGTACACGCTGTTTACCAACAAGGTTGTTTCGGCATGCATAATTTTATTGTACTTCTCAAATATTTTATGAAACAGGAAAAATATGTCACATCTGTGTTGAAAAATGGCTGTTGCTAATAAAGCTTTAGAAATTTGAAGGTTGTGCCAGTCAATAGGCTCCATAAAATCCTCCCCAGGGGACACTGAGTGACATCTCTTTTAAATTCTCAGTGACACCTCGTATCGAACAGTCAGGAAACCTAAAAAATTACACACTCCGGGAAACACCTGATACACTCATCCATAATGGTTACACAAGTATTAGTAATTATATGTGACAATTATATTTGTATTGGGAATACACACATTTCTTTTGTCTCAAAATGATAAGATTTTATATGCTAGCTTTGTGTTTATGCTTCAGAGTGTATGTGTTACAAATGAATGTGTACAGGAAAAAAAAAAGATTTAATTGAAAAAAACCGGAGCCATGCAGCTGTTATGGTTAAATTTGTTGTAAGATGTGCAATTCGCTTCTCAGAATCACAGGGACCAGTAAAGGCTGTAGCAGACATTTATTAATCTGACCACATCTCTTGGTTTGTTGATGATGTTGGCGGTCTCAGCCAGCGGGAGGTCTGTTGCCATGGCGCTGGATAAAAAGGACTTCATTCCGGATGGCTGGGACATTCAGATTGCCCTGACAGTGCAGGGAGGCTGTCACGGTCGATGTTCGGGGCTACGTAAATATTTCATCCTTGCCCACAAGTTGATAGAACACTCAGTGCTGCAGCCCGGTTATTCAGCCATGTTTCCGACATGGTATCTTTCCAGCATCTGAAAAGATTCTTCTGTTTGTGTAACGTGATTTTCTATTATGAGCAAAATCTGCAGAACACCGATTCCACAGACGATTCTCAGACCCTTAGCGACGCACACATAAGCTGTTGTCACCGTCATTCCTATTGTGGGTGTTATTGCAGAAGACGCACATTCTTTGCACAGCTAAACGCAGTCTGCTGACCTTCATTATAAATGCCTCACTGAAGCACCAGCACATTTGTCTTCAATCCCATTTCCCTGGCTGTGCGTGCCAGCCTGCTGTTTATAACCTCCTTATTGTCATTAAACCTTGCCGCATCTGACAGTGTTATTGCCTTTCCGTTATTGCTGTTTTGTTTTCCTGCAGTTCCCAGCCACCTTGCTCCCCTGCCAACATTAACCCCCCCCCCCCCCCCTCCCTGCATCTTCCCCTTGTGTAACATCCTGGACGCATCTCCCCGACGGCTTCCACACGCCCCCCTCCCACCGCGAATAGGGTGTCACATACCCTTGCCTCATTTACAGCCAACCTAATGAGGGCGCTGAGAACATCCGTGTCTCTCCCATCTCTGCTGGTGCTTACAGGAAGTCAAGTAACCCCTGGGTTTTAATTCCGCAGTATGGAGACCTGACTTTATTCAAAATGAATGGAATGGTTTTAAATCTTCTTTCCCTTTTTTTTTGGAAAGGCACTGATAAACACCCAAATGCATTGAGGTTGGAAGCCATTAACAGAAGCATGGAATATTTGAATCTTGGTGTCTATTCCTCTCGCTGTCTCTCTCTCTCTCCTGCTTAACCGTGCAGCGTGCACGCATGCCGGCATGATAGTGCGCGTGAAACAGACGCTGCACCGCATGGAAACATTTCCGAGACGCAGTTCTGCTCTCTTCAACTGAGACCTTGATCCCAGTATGTAAACGTGCACTAGCTGACAGTTTCAATTCATAACAAAAACACGATAAGAGATGGGAGGATATTCTGTGTTGTTTATTCAGTCTTCGAATTACATTAAAAAGACAAGGAAAGGAAACCTTTCAGACAGAGAGTGTGTACTTCCTTGACAGGTGTGTAAGTCCCTCATGCAGCGCGTTTTCTCTTAGTGAATACTGCACTTGGCTAGGTGTGGCTTGTGTAATTTATTACATCGGTAAGCTGCATCCTGCTTTATAGAGGAGAGAGGGGCTTCGGGCGGGATGCTCTTCATGAGTAGCATGCCTGCGAATTTTAAGCATGACGTCTCCAAACGCATCCCACATGTTACCGGCCTTTATCTCAAGTACGAGGCAAACAAGGTCATTTAGGAAGGTTGGGAGGTTTAGGCAGCTGGTATGAATCCTGAAATTGCCATGCACAGCCTAAGCTCACTTAACATAAAAATACATATCTTCAACTAAACAACACAGATCTCATTTTTACCCTATAGACAAGAATTAAAAATCATTTGTACCTCGCAACACCTTTAAACAAATATTTGCAAAGATTGTATGCTTGTTGCATGTTATAATTCTCATTAGTTACCAGTACATTTTTTTAAAATTAATAGGCACGACAATAATGTATATGAATATTACATTATATATGGTGTCCATGGATGGTTTCCCATTATCCGCGGTTTCGGTCATCCGCGGTAGGTCTTGGAACATACCTGTCGCTGATACGGGGAACTACTCTGTGTGTGTTGCATAAAATGAACTCAAAATGTGTATAAACTTCAGATTGTTCGATGGGTGTTATAAAATCACATAAACCTCATTTTCTAGCTGTGGATAAACAACTTGGTTTTCTTTATACAGTTTAACAGGCTTATAGTGAGCACGGTTATCAACCACTTATAAAAAGCTTGGGACAGAATCATTCCTTTACAAATACTGTTTAAATAATTCGCATATAGTAATCAAGCAGTCCGCTTACGGTGTTCATTTCGGTTTTTTTTTTTGTACATGACAACATATGGAAATTTTTTAAACTATGGAAGGCTTAATTATTATTATTTTTTACTTTAAGTGCAAAAAAAAACATATCTTACCTTGCAGTAACCCATCTGCTTCTGGCTAGCTACCTGAGGCTAATGCTGCGTGCACAGCAAACATGACGGGAAACGGAAAGTAATTTTCTCTCAATGACAAATACAAATGGAAGCTTCTGATAAACCGCCATAAACGAGCCAACAACATGCAGCAGCGAAACTATCATAAGCTATATTTTATGTACAGTATCGTACTGTATTATAGTGTATTTGAATTATACACCGTTCAGTAATTTGTGCAGTACTGTAATTTGAAAAAGCTGTACTTCATTTTGAAAGAGTTAATAAAATTAAGTAAATAGCGACGCTATTTATAAATATATAAATGTCATTTAAATGATTAATCTGCCTGAGACATAAAGAAAAAAATGTTCATAATGATCATCCCTTTATATAGTGACCAATTTCACTCACACAGACGTGATCACTAAAAGCGATTTCCACTCTAACTATTATTATTATTATATTAAAGAAACGACAATACAGTTTTTGAGGGAGCCATCTCGTCACATCGCAACATAGCGCATTTCCTTTTTCCTGTAAAGACGACTGAAAAAGGCGGGGCGAGGGGTCTCAAATCTTTCTTACTAAAATTTCCTTCAATCCAAGTTCATAGGGCCTGTTATGAGGTCGACTAAGTATGAGTGTGACTCGTAATGATAGTTCGGAATTGGGTCTTTGCTTGAGATTTGGGATTTTATTTCATATTTTCAGCTTCTTTTGGCTACGTCAACAGCGATTGGACGGTTAATTTTCCGTAGCCAATCATATGAAAGCGCGCTTAGAACCAGCGCGTTCATGTAGCAGGTTGATTAACCGGAGTTCCGTTAACTAGTTAACTAGTTCCGAAGCTTGTGGCGGGAGCTTCCGATACCGCGGAACCAGTACCGCCATGGCCGCAGCTGCGAGGTCTTTTCCGGTTAAAAGCCAAGATGGGAAACAGCGTTACCACGACCTTCCTAAGGCTCTTGACATATCATTTAAGAATTGTCTGTCTAATTTGATGAAACATATAGAGAAGAGGTAAGTTTGTCTTTTATCTTACGACTTAATCATGTAATTTCGGCCTGGTTAGTTAGGCTCGGCATCCGTGAACATTATACACCCTGAAAAGCTCTCAGTCTCTGGTGATTTTTTTTTTTTTAGCTATTAACACTTAAATAAGTTAAAGAGTCTGTTTTATTTGCAGTCAAATTTTAGCCGGCTTGGCTAGCTAGCTAAGTAATAACTTATCGAATGCTATCGCTGTTACTTGTGCTCTGCTATAATAGTTCTATTGTGTGCGTGATACCGGCTGGCTTCACTTGTGGCGCTGCAGTGTAACGTTAGCTTTAGTTTGCGAATTCAAAGGCTGAATGTTTTTGGCCCATGGTGTGAAGTTGCTGGAAGCCTGCTGTAAGTTTGGGAACGGACCAGATTTTTGTGGCTGAGGGTGAAAGTCATTTTCAGTTTATTTACATGTTGGTGCATATTTCCTATAATTTTCTATGTGCTTGAACATTTTCAAGTACTGTAATGCTGTATGAGTTTCTGCCCGATACTATGATCTTTTTTCTTTCTTCAGTTTGTTTATTTTGCACGTAAAACTGCAGTGAAACATGTTGAGTTTATTGTTTAGTGCTCGTTTTACATCACATGATGCATTTTTCTTTCCGTTTATGAAAAGCAAAGGTAGTTTAATTACTATGTGTGAACTATATAAAAATATTATGGGGTGAACATAATTAAAAGTAATTTTAAACAAACTACTGATTTACTCTAACTTCTGTATTTTCTAGAAGAAGAACTTTTACTCTATTCAGAGTTAATATTTTTTGGAAGTAAAGTAGAATGCTTGAGTAGGATTTTACAGTACTCATTCCTCCCTCAGGTGTCTCCCTGTCCGTCTTTCCTGATATAGGCTCCAAGCTCACCACTATTATGCGCTGGATAAGAGTTTGGAAGATGGGTTGATGTTTTTCAGTGATAGATGTATAAAGAGTATTGCCAGCAATAAACAGCACTCCATCCCAAATAAATCTGAAAGCTAGGTAAAACATTTCTCCCATAAATTTTACATTAGCTGTAGACATACTACATATCATGTGATTAGAAAGACGTGCTATGGTGGCATCATCAGCTAATCATGTGTTGATAGTTCTTTAAGTAATCATAAAAGTCCTCACATTTCCAGTGTCACGAATCCGCAGAACTTTCCGGTTCCCTCAGCGGAGCAGGGATCGTCCTCACTTGGTCACCATCTCTGGAAACTCAGAAATAGCACTGAAAGCAAACACATTCACAACGCTGGGTAGCGGCTACGGGACATGGACACTGCTTCTTTGAAAGACGATTCGGTTTTTAAAGTGGACCGGCAGATCCATGCGGCCTACATTTGCTGAGCCTCGTTACCAAAAGCACTAGTATTATCCATTTGAACTCTGAAACCTTTTGCGTCACCCTGGGAACGCCTTGGCACTTGATGAAAATTTCACGTTGTTTTTTAAATCAGTTCAGGCTGACATGTTCAGTCTGGTGTGCCTATTGTCAAAGGGTAGGGCACTATTTTGCTTTCTTCTTCGGCCTTGCTTGTTTGTATGAGTTTCCTCCAAGTTCTCTGGTATCCTCCTGCAGTCCAAAAACATGCATCTAATTGGCTTCTTGCAATCGCTCATTGTATGTGAACGTGTGTGTTTATGCCCTGCCATAGACTGGCATTCCATCCATGGTGTTCCCCTGCCCTGTACCTTGTGCCACCTAGGAAATGTTCCAGACTTAACGTAATCTGGTATGGGATACTTGGTCCTGAATAAATGGAAGAATTAGTGAACGTTTGCTTTTTAATTCTACAGTGAATCAAACAAGGGCGTGTACTCTAAGGCCCCCGAAGCGTAAAGGAACAGGAAAGAAATCCATTCAAGGGTTTTTAAAATGTAAATAAGCAGGTGTTACTATGCAATGATGAGTTTCTTTCACTGAGATTTAACTCCTGCTATATACCATTCTCACTGCTCAGTACCCTTAGGTAACCTTTTCACTATTGATGGACACACAGATCCGTTACCAAGTTCTGATGAATGACTTACGTGGACAGATTAATTAATCTACTAAAACAAATTTTACAACCTTTTACCTAAAGGGCACACTTTGAATTATAGATATGTTCATAAATCAGACGATTTAATGATTGCCGGCACTTGCTAATGCAATTTCCCAGAACGGATGATGATAATAATAATAATGATATGTATGCTATATGGAGCTCATAAATAGTGTTTTCCATTCTGGAAGTGATCTGCATACTGAGATGCATTTAAAAAGGTATGTCAGCGCACTCTGTGTGTGAAGTGCATGTGACACGGTGGCTGTGGGGGCCGCCTTTTCACGGGTACAATAACAGAAGGCAGAATTAATATCCTCCCTAATGACCTCTGAAAAAACAAAAAGCCATTAGACTAATGATGGTCGGCTAGGAGGCGCTTCCCGCACGACACCTGACGAGTACATATACGTGAGATAATTACGCATAATATGGACACGTGTCGTGTTGCGCATTCCTATGAGATATGCACATATGTTAAGCTGTGTGTGTGTGTGTACACATACAGACTGTCATTTCTGTGTAGGTCAGGTAGAAACCTCTTTGACAGCTTCCCAATATACGATGAATACATTATGTGCAGTGTCTTATCTGTGTGTGATATACGCATAAACATACATACCTAAACATATACATATACAGTATACTCACAATTAAATAATTTCTGAATTCTTTACATATATCCATCCATCTTCTGTATAGGGTCACAGTTTAAATGCATTTATTATTGTTGTTGTTGCTATTGTTTTGTTGTTGTTGTTCTTATAATATTAGTGATTTTTGTGTTTATATAAATATACATTTGCATTGATATAATGAGTCACGATGATAGTATTTATCATAGCAGTGCAGGTGCATGTATGTAAAAGAATTATTCTGTATATATAAGATTTATTCTGTATACTTTGCAGTGTCCCCCTTTGGTGGCAGCTGTCAGCCGTTTATTGTGCCGTTATTAATGGCTAATTGACATTCATTATACTATTACATGATATTTACATTACAATGTTTCCATCACAAAGAATAATAAAGTACATGAAATATTAATCATAAAGAAATCATTCAGTCGTTCTTTACCAAAAACGCTAAGAAACACATTGGCCCATGTTTTTTTTTTAATTTTCATTTAAATTGTGAGCAGACCTACAGACATACCATGCAATGGACACTGTTTTTTTTTTTTGCTGTTAAAAACCTACCTTTTATGGGCTGTGTTTTACCATCCGCTTTTTTTAAATGAGGAGAAATCCACAGAGCCGGTCACTTGCAACGTTATTTCACGGCACTAATTGCATTTTAATGTCCAGGTTATACTAAGAGAGATGAATTACAGGGCAGCCTCACAACCGCACTGCGACTCGCGAAACAATCTGTTATGAAATTAGAGCTCGCCCTGTGCTTCCCCTAACGAGGTGTCCAAACGAAGGCAATATCAGTCGATAATTTAAATATTGGATGTGCCGTTTCCTAAGCGCGAAAACCTTTGCTTTCTGAAAAGCTAGCTCTGGCACAAAGTCTGCACTTGATTAGCAGGGTAGTCTCTCGGCAAAGCCAAGACTTCACGTCCATCAGCATCAGCCTACAGACCTAAGACTGCCCCGGCTGTAATTAATATGCAAATTCGCTTCGCCTCATTGGCAATTCAGATTACCTTCTTCTGTAATGTAACTCAAATTGTTCTACTTCAAACACTGAATTTGATTTCCGAGACCCCCCTCCCCGTTCCCCCAGGGCATCCCATAATGGCTCCCTTTATCCAGAGTGTGAGCCATGCATTGAACGTTCTGCTCGGACTTTGAATGCCTATTAAAAAAAAAAAATATGGAAAAAGCAGGAGCGACGGCCAGGGTAAGTTTCCTTCACGTCTGAGCGCGGCGTCTCTGTGTCCTTCGGCATGTCCGACCCCCCCCCAACATGTCATTTCCGCAGTGCCAGGGCACGTCCTGCCTTCCCTCTTTCACAATGCCGTCTCTCCCGAAGACTTCATTTCAGAAACCTGCGGACAAGAAGGGGGGGGAGTCGCCTACTCTGCATATATTAGTATGCAGAGCATAACTGCCGTCCTGAGTGGCGGCCCCCCCCCCTACTTGTCTTTACCCAAACGGGAGCCATGGGCCCACGTATAGCAACACGCCCCACCTCCCTGTGAACCAGCCATCAGCACGCAAGCATGGCGACAGCCGCGGGCCCATATCACACTGCCACGCGACTTCGGGAAGAGTCGTCGCGTGAGGACCACCCCCAAGCTGTGCCCCGGGCGTTCTGACAGGGACCCCCCCCCCATCACTACCACTACCACCACCACCATGTGACAACAAGTGGCAGGATCAATGGGGGCGCAGTCGCCGGGTGCTGTAATTCATTCCGCCCGGCCTTGGCGCGTGGCCAGCCCTGCCATCTGTCTCTCTACCCCTCCCCCATCATCACCCCGCCCCCGCCCCATTCCCGCTCGCCGCTCCGTTCTGTCCTACATTTCGTAGCACGCGGCACGTGCCTGGCATCTGCGCTCGGCGCCACACGTCCGCCGCCTGCGTGCGCCTCGCTCCCTCTCCGGCTCGTGCTGGCACTGCGGGCACTGCTTCCTGCTCACCGTCGCCTTGGAGGCCAAGCTCAAGACGGGACGGGTCCTGCAGTCGGCCGGCGCGTGGGTATTTCCGTCCCTCCTCATGCCATCGGCTTTCCTCTTTTATGGCTCTCTCACTTTATCGACTCTCGTCATCTCGGCCATTACCTGATGGATCCCGGATGCATGGGGAACTCCAGCTTGCGTGCCACGGCCCAGGTGGCTCTCTCGAGCGCCAGTTCGACGGGATGGCGTACACTGTGGGACGTACCACCTCCATGCTGCCTGCTCTGCTGGAAATGAGAGGGGGACTGCGAGCCGGTACGCAGCGGGGAAGGCAGTCTGAAGCTGCGGAAAAGTGAATAATCAATTAAGTATTGATTCCTTGTAAGATTTAGCAAATTTCAAAGGGAAGACAAAGAGGGCGGCTCACAGAGAGCGCGGCGGGACCCGGCGGCGAATCGGGCAGCAGACTGAGCCATGGAATAAGCTTCCTCCTGGTTTTTCCCAAAATAATTAACGGTAACAGTCGGAATACAATGACTCCTTTTAACAAAAACGGCAAACATTCGAGAATTTCACCAAGGACCGCTGACAGGATCTAATTATGTGAGCTCGTACAAAGGAACTCATTCATATGCGGAGATGCAAATGTGGTTTCGCTGGGAGGAGGGAGGAAAAAGCCGCGGTATCGAGAATTAACAGTTATTTCAGACATTAAGTGCCTCACTTTCGCTCTGGCGTTTCCGCCTGAACTGCTTTCGGCTGAGCGGATATATCTCTGCGTTACCTGGAAAACCAAACTGCGTTTGCATTCATCAACTGGTTTTAATTGAATAACCAGGAACGGAAGTAAAATTTACCTTTGTGTGCACAATAACGAAGCTCTGCAGATTGCAGTGTCCGTGGGGGGGGAAGAGCAAACATCTTGGTACTTATGAGACAGAAACGAGGAGAGAGATGGCTGATGGTGGCTGTATGTAATTCAGGTCCTGTTACATACATTCCAGCGATGTGTAATTAGAAAGAACTATATTTTCTGCCTGAATGAATGAGCGCGTCATGAAAATTCAAAGAAAACTCAGAGAAAATTGCCTTTCCCTTGCTAAAAGCCTTACCTTTTCATTTTGGCCTGCAATTTCGATGTTTTGAAATACTGGTATTGGAGGAAAAACCCTTTATGTCACTTTTTTCTTAGTCTTTTCTTATGAACTAAAGAATGGCTTGTCTTCTCACTTCTGGGAAATAACAGAAGCGTAATAGCCTGCAGATAATAAACACCTACATCTGCTTTTTGGTTTCTTTTTTTAGTATATGGTGCCTTGACTGGCATCAGCAGTTTGACAGTTGCCTGTAAAATGGATATTTTTCCTGGAAACAGATGCCAGTCACAAGAAGTTTGGTGGAACAATGTGGAAAGCTATTAGGCGAACTAGATGTTGGTCTATCTGTACAGAGGACCTTGTGAAGTACGTGCTACTTCCTGTGGAATACAAAGGGGGCGTGTTCACTTGTCATGTGACTCAGCCGTATCACTGCAGCACGCAGCTCATGAAGCACCAGATCCTGGCTGATATCCAGTAATACTCTGACTCTGATTAAGCCATTGATTTACAATTTGCTGTTTAAATATTTCTGTTGTCAGATTCAGACTTGTATTTCGCGATTATGCTTTCATTTTTCAGAAGAAAAATTACACTTCATGTTTGTACCCTGTTCATTAATATTTAAGTATTATACTGCATTATTAATGAGTTTATGCCTTCTTTGTGGGAAAATTGAACTGTTGAAATAACTAATTTAATCATAAGCATAGGCATATGCTTATAAAAGCACATAAAAGCAGTAATTGCATCCAGAGTTATTTTGTTTCATTTTTAGGGAATACTGGGTAATGGGGCACTTCCTTTTTGTTATTGCAAGGTGAAACCTGGTTGTATAGTTAAACAGAAGTTATCAGGCTATGTGAGAGATGCCAGAAAGTGGGAAGCTGTAACGGGAAGGCAAGCACGATTTGCCAAGACTCTGATTTGACTTTGTACAGGCACTGTCGGAATTCACTAAACATGTTCCTGACTGACTGCAGGAGTCTGACGGAATTGGGCATTTAAGGTAAATGTTAGACAGAAATGGTTCAACTGTGACTAAAATGAAGAAATTAATCAATACTTTCTTGCTGCAGGTTTCTTTAAAAGCATATATTGCGCAATTATTTCCACCGCACTCGCTACCACCCTGATTGCTCTAAAGCATGATTTACAATATATATCGAGCTGTATGTCACATGACATTATTTAGAAAAGGTCAATTCTGATAAAAGTGCAAATAATTTAGGGCGACAGTCAGAGAAATCATTAGACATGGGGCTGCGGATCACGTGACCAGCCTGGGATGGCAAAGCGGCACGTCAGCAAGAGCTCTCGCTAAATCATGCAGTATTACATCTGACAGTGATTGGACATCCTTTTTTTAATGACCTCAGCTGTGGCATGGTAGGATGTGAAAAGGTGCTGCCTTCCCGCTGACGGTTTCTGGGTTGGTATAGCCTGGGGTAACCCTGGCCCACAATAAACTGTAATTTGATTGATGGGAAATCGAAGCAGTTCATCTAACCAACCACTCGGTCTTTGCCCATGGTCCCCACAGCCGTGCAGATGATGATGCATTGTGTTCCTCGAAATAATTGTCATTCACGCTTCCAGGGTGACTTCACTTCCAAAGGGACGATCTCACAGCACTACTCTGACCAGTTTTAGGGCAGGGATTTCTACAGGGGAGGGGAGATGCCCTTTTTGGGGGCTTTGGGTGGGATGAAACCACTGGCGCAGTGCTGTGCTTTGGAGTGCGATGAATATGTAAAAGTGAAGTGAAATGTCAGCACGGCTCTGGCCAGCATTACACTACATCAGGGAAAGATGGGACAATACATGCAGAGCTTTTTCTACTTCTACTTAAGGTAGTGTTATGCCTCTCAGGAAGCACTCTGAAGGTCACCGTTTCATGGGGATTCCCCGGCAACTTCAAAATCTCTGTACGAAACTCAGAATTGTAACTTTGTAACATTGTAACTTTGTAATATGCTTCAGGTGATACGCATGAGGCACGTTTTATGTGCCTCCTTTTGTTCTGGCCACTGAACTGAAGGCATGTTTATTGGATCAGTCAGTCATTTAAAAAAATTAAGAGCTTTTGCTGACATGGAAACATACCACTACAATGCACATTATGTATGCCTTTAAAGACAGGTTTAGGCAAATACTTTAGGAGATTTAGAACAGCAAAATTTAATCCCGATGGACAGTTTACAAATGCGGAAATAATAGATTTCATGAATAGAAACATTGTTTATTTACATGCTAACATAGAAAGATATGTCAATATCCTGGGTAAATGTATAAATGTGTGCTGTCAATATGTTTCCCACTTTGGTTCAGTGGGCAAGTTTTTATTGAGTTTGTACGTGTTTGCATGAGCATGTCTATAGATGTGTGTTATTTATTGCTCAGGGAAAACTGTAGTGTGGGCTGATTTCTATCACTTCACTCTGCAGTAGATAAGCTGGGAGCAGAGCTGGAAATTAAACAACTGCCTGAGATGCTGAATTACCAGGTAAGTGACAAGGTGATACGGTGACATGTGTGTTCGCGAGGTTCTGAGTAAAGATAGCTCATGATAAAAGTGCCAGGAATGATTGCTTGGACTGGGGATGGGATGGATTCCAGTGTGGATTGTCAGTAATAAACTCAGGTGAAGTCTTTCACATGTAAAAGGTTCCTAGTCCTGTGAGTCCATTTGAAACGACCTTTAGGGTCAGATCATTTGCAATGCTAAACTTTTAGCGGGAAATACTGTACAGTCTTGTCACTGCTCGTTGTTTTTAAGTGGCAAGCTACAAGTGCAGAGAGAGCTGGTTTGGTTTGCAGCTGCATACGGGTATTTAGGAGTCCTCTTTAAAAGTCAGCCGGACTCGAAAAAGCAGTATTTCTCTTACGGGATTTTGGATTTTAGCCTAGTCAGGTTGGACAGCAGGAAGCAGAGTGGCTGCAAAACTAGACTTCAAGTCCCCCTAACCCTGCTGTTGTACTCTAGAGAATGCAGAATTGCTTTGGGGAAATATCCAGCCTTCTAAGTATACAGCTGTCAGCTATGTATAGAATGCATTTTGTATAAAAGCAGTAAATGAATAATAATAGTAGCGTTACTATTAATTGCTTGTTCATATTCATGCACATTATTCCACCTGATATTCAGGTTCTCAAGCATGACATATGCGTTACAGTTCCCCCACAAGGACCATTACAATAATTATGATTATGAATTATGCACCATATCAGTCTTGTGTAAGGCTTTATGTTTGTATGAACCACTTTATCACATATAAGAAGAGACATTAGGAAGTCCTAGTTACTCTATTTATATCGACTCACATTTATTAAAGTGTGAATTATAATAACGATTGGGTTAAGTCATTTATATAGAGGATTGCAATTTACATATATCATGAGTTTTAAGGGGGGGATTATTGTCCATTTTCCATGAATTTTGGTTACATTCATATTCTTTCTGCATTGGAAACATAGCCTTAACCAACAATATATAGAAACGATCTTTGAACACACTAATAGATTAGTCGATGGGCAACGTGTCCTGTAATTGGTCATTGAGTGATAAAATAAAGGAGCTTCCTTTAGGTCAGTCACAGTGAGTACAGTGATTTAATCTATACTTCACACAGGAAAATGAAGCCTGACCTTGAAGTAGTCATTTGCTCGATACCTCTGCCAGAAGGAAAGGGGATAAAGAAGCAAACAGAGTACTAACATGCTCTATGAAACAAACAGATCTCTGGGAATACTTGATAGAACAATCAGAACTCTGGTCGCATTCAGTGAAACAAACAACAGTCACATACTCTGTGAAAAAAACAGACCTCTCTGCATACTCGGTGAAACAGACAGAGCACTAACATACTCTGTGAAATCAACAGAACTCTGGGCATACTCAGTGTAACAAACAGCACTGCACATACTGAGTAGACATGGTGAGGATTTCCCCCTGGGATCAATAAAGTCAATCCTAATCCTAAAACGGACCGCTACAAATACTGTGACAAACAAACAGAGCTTTGGCCATTCTCTGTAAAAGAAAAAGATTACTGCACATACTCTGAAGAAAACAGCACTGCACACATTCCGAGAAGAAAATGGAGCACTGTGAATACTCTGTGAATACTCTGTGAAATATACATAGCTTTGGGCATGCTCAGCAAAACAAATGGAGCATTGTACATACTCTTAATGCAGAGTACACCACGCTGGAGATTCAAATGGCAGTGCTTTCCCTTTCTCAGCATTTTTTCCCATCCTCAATTCTCGTGCTCACTGTGACACCCACCAAATAATGAAGGGCACATATTGACTTGGAGATTCACTGTTTATTTTTTTAAGATAGGTTGCAGATTGAGCCCGTGTGGTACATCTGTCCAAACATTTTCATCCCCATTTCATTTTCTGCTCCACCGTTCTTTTCTGAGAGAGAATTTGAAAGTATGACTATAGTTCAACAAAAAAAAAAATGTCAGGCACCACCTGCAGTTGCGGGACACGTTTTATTACCGTCATCGTACTACTGTACCTCCCGGCGAGTGTGGAGCAGCTGACTGTCGGCACAGCACATTACGGATACCTGCCCCGCTAGGAAAGAGCCTACAATTGTTTGATCACTGAATGACAGAGCAGGGCCTGGGTTTATATATCCCCCAGGGTACCAAGAAAGCCGGCACGTCCCTGGAAAAAAATCGGGGGGTTGGGGCAATGAATAATACTCGGAGAGACACTTCCATCACGCACACGTGAGCGGTCCCACAGCAGACCGAGAGGAGCAGTGAAAGCAATCAAGGTCAAATCCATTATCTGACTTTATCTTCTTAGCAATGTAAAGCTTGTGGAAGCTAAGTTACCTCTTAATGCTACTTGTATCTGTTTGATACATAATATTACCCAGGACCTTACTTGTACATATGTGTCCCTTAGACCTGGGATAATGGGTGGGCAGCCATAATATGTAGTCATCTATCTAAGTTTTAATTAAACTCGTTAATTGATTTACTTCATCAGCTAATACAGGATAGGATGGTGATTAGCATCAAGCCTCCACAGTTGTGGATTTTATTTCTCTGCATCTTATACTTACTCTCGTGTTGTTTAAGTGAGTTGGTGTCTCTAAATTGTGTGTATGTGTGTGTGCGTGCGTGTGTGTGTTTGTGGTCATCGGACCAAATGTCCCCTTAATGTGATAAAAACCCATTGTTTTGTTTTTTGTGGGGACATTTTCCAGTTCCCACAAGGGGAAACTCAGTTTTATTAAAACCATTTAATGCGACCAAATAACTAAAATAACCACAAGTGTTGTATTTTGGTTGGTTACTTAAGGTTGAAGTTAGGTTTAGGGTTATCACAGTTAGGATTAAGGTCATGTCCATAGAAATGAATGGAAGGTCCCCACAGAGATATGGGTATGTATTCTGTGTCTGTATCTGGGTGCATGCGTGGGTGGGTGGCTGGCTTTGTTTTTACCACATTGTGGGGACCAAATACTTTTCAGTTTGTAGGGACATTTTTCAGGTCCCCAAAATATAAATCTCAGTCTGTGAATGTAATCAAAATACTAAAATAACTTAAAGCATTTTATTATTTGGTTACTTTGGTTAAGGTTAGAACTGGGTAGGGGTTAGGGTTTTCCTATTTGGAATTAGGGTCATGCCCATAGAAATGAATGGACAGTCCCTACAAAGGTATTTGGATACCTGATGTGTGTGTGTGCCCTGCAGTGGCCTGGCATCCCATCCCCGGTCCCCCTGCTGTGTATCCTGTCATTCCTGGGACAGGCCTCAGGCAGACACAGTACTGCGTAAGCGGTTATGGAAAATGGAAGAATGTATGATTCAACACATGAAACTGAGTCACTTTCTTGGCAGTGCAATTTTAAAATCATACTTTTGTAGCGCACTGGCAAATGGATTTAATACAATCATAATAGTTTCAGAACTAAGTAAAACACCCTATGTCAAACAAGCAGGGGGAGACATTTAACAGAAAACAACAGAAGACCCTACAGCAAAACCAACTTCAATGTTTGTACCTCCCAAAAATTCCTTGAGTGTAATATAATTAGTGTTTGCTGTAGTGTGTTAACTTGTACTCGATCAAATGCAGTATTTTATGACAAGAAACAAGTGGATTTTAGCCAACAGAGAAATTCAGCATTACAAGTACAGACATGAGGTTTTGAAAAGACTGATAATAATATGCAGGCCTGGATTTGGCCTTACTTAATTTGGATAAGGTCATTTTGGATAATTATATTGGTAAAAGTAACTCTAAGTAATTCTTTTCTTATGCAATATGGAAAATTGAACTTAACGTTTTTCAAATCTGTTCCTTCAGCAACTTTGAAATGTGAGAGGAGTTTATCAGCAACTGCTTAACCCTGATTTCAGAAAAAAAAACAATCTACAAATAATGCATTGCTTTGAATGTGAAATATGTTGAGTGAAATAACATTTACTCACATAAAACTTGGTTTCCCATCAGAAGTCTTTGCTTTCAAAGCAATCGGTTTCCTCTGTTTATTGACACTGCTTTTAATGTGACAAGTGAGATGTAATAATTCCGCCGCTGTTTTCTGATGAAATGGTTTTAGCTAGGCATGCATTTCCCGTTCCCCTCTGATGTTGAAGAGAAAGTCTCCTCCAGATGTCCTGCTTGACATATGGCCAGACTTTCCCCTTTAAAACATCTAACAGAGCCACAAATGACTTTACGTCCAACCAAAATACACTCACTACAGGTGCATAAGCCTACGGTCAGTAAATCATCCTTCCGTGAAGCTTTTCTACAAAACAGGATTAGCAGACAATGGTAATCAGAATACATGGTACTTTTTATATCTCTGTCATATTTGACAGGATGAGAAACTCCCGGTTGTTGTAGTCAGTAAGACATAATGTGTAAAGAAGCACTTTCAAGGTTTCAAATCAAACAGTATCAAATTTATTAAAATATTAAAATAATTATTTGGTGAAACTGGTTGGTGTAATATTTCTGAATTAGCCATGCACATGTGCGTTGACAGTGGCGTCCTGTCCAGGGGGTCCCCTGCCTTATGTCCTGTGGGTAGATAGACTTCAGGCCCCCAGCATAAGCAATATTTCACCCACGGCTCCGTCTGTGTGGAGAATCAGACTTCTACTCATCTTAGGTTAAGTAACCTTTCCAGGATTTCCAGCTTGTGGTAAATAAAGTATCTATCTGTTTGTCTGTCTATTTGGAAGTTGAACTGGAAGATGATGGATGGATGGTGTAATGATTAAAAAAGAATGCATTATGCTAATGAATTTTTAGAACAAAATACACATCATCAAAATGTCAGTAAATGCACCCTTCCTTAAAAAAGAAGCAAATGCTTGTTAATATGAATAAATAAATCATGGAATTATATAGCAGAGCTGAACACAATGCCGGTTTGTTTCAAAAGGAAATTACTCAAAAATCCTTTGCAGGTTTATGCTTGGCCAGCATGTTTTTGAAGTGCAGCCCTGCATATTTTAA